GTAGCTAGCTATGAAAGCCCTCATTCATAGGTTTGACCCTTCCCTGCTGTGTCAAGGCTGAGATACCAGTCGGCACTCTGCTCTTGCTTTTCTGGAGACAGTACTCGACGTGACCAGGCCTTCTGTGGGCAGAGGAAACACTTGGCCGTCATGTGCTATGGACTAGCTGTCAAGTACTGTTGGGTAGGCTGTCAGGGAAGTGAGACTACATGAAGAAGGAGATACTCATCACAAGAGTGGCATATACTGATGCTAGCAATCTGGGGATCAGGAGACCTCTATTTCCTCTACTTTGAAGAGTCATGCCCTTAAGTCTTGGGGAAGACTCAGGTAGTCTAGATCTCATCGTGGAGAAGCAGAGAAAGCCTAGAACTGTCTAGGATTACAGTATTCAGCAAAAGAAAAAAAAATCAAGACCACCAGTGTTGGTGAAAGATAACCCCTAGAAGGTATGAAGCATGATCCCAGAGCTCCAACTGAACAGAGTCCCAGCATCCAACCAGACACTGGCTAGTTAATGTCTGTGAATGAAAAGCTGATGCCTATCACGATAGACATAGTAGGCTCATCATAACCAGTGTCTTCTGAGAGATAGCTTTACCCTGAGAGGGCGTAGTGTGTTCCATTAAAGATTCTGGAAGAAAATACCGGGAGTGTCATCTACATGATTTTTGCTCTAAACAAATTAAGATTTTCCTGTTCTTAAAACAGACTGGTATTAGGTACAACACTTCAACACTAGCACAGATCAAGAATCACTTAGGCTGCATACAAGCTTCCTCCAGCTCTAACATACCTGCATGGTACTTACCTGGAAATTCATTAAATTCAGAATTTGTTATATGCTGTCACTTAAATGTCCCATGTCACTAGGGACAGCTAAGACCTAATTTGATATACAATAATCCTTTTAAAAAATAAACAAATGTCTGAAAAAGATTCATTCAGTGCACAGTAGATAATGGTAATAGCTCAGATTCAAGCAAAAAATATAGTGCGATATTTACTAAGTATTATCTCTTTACTTTACAAGGTTAAAAATAATAAACACCTAGTCTGATAAGGTAAGACTAGGGAAAAATCAAAATTATCAAGAAAATTGTTTGAGATATGAATATAGGCACATATAAAATCTTTTAGAAGTTATCAAAAATAAGGGGGCTAAGAAATAATACAATGAACAGAGTGTTTGTCATGCTACCATGAGAACCAGAGTTTTGATTCCTAACATCTATGTAACTGGCAGGTGAATGCTGCAGCGAATCTATAAACCAGTGCATGGAAGACAGCATAGGGGAGCCCTGCAGCAAGCTGGCAAGCTCAATTAACCCAAATCAGCAATCTCTGGCCAAGTTCCGAGACCCAGTGTCAGTGAATATGATGAAGAACGATCAAGGAAGACCCTGTACGTTAACATTGAGTCTCCATATACTGCACATACATGTGTAACCCCAGACTTTTACCCATATACAGGTGCAACCTCACACATTCAAACATGAAAACATATGCATGCACACCACATATACAGACAAGTTTAAAAAGACATTTAAATTAATCTGTTGAGCATGTTTGTTATCCCAGCACTCAGGAGGCTGAGGCAGGAGAATCAAAATGCAGCCCAGGCTGCACAGGGAATGTTGTTCCTGACAACATCAATCATAAAATTTTTAAAAATGTTATTAAAAACATATCAGCCAAAGAGCAGACCTTTAGACATTGCATAGGCATGTTCATTTCAAAATATTTTTGTTTCAGCTATACTTTGTCTGCTTTACAAAATAATCTATAAGCACAATATACTATGCTCTTACACAGATGTTCGCACACTGGGATACATAAGCACATTTCTCATAATTGATGAAGCATACAGTCCAAAGGCACTGGTGTGCGCAGCCTCAGCTGCCAGCCTCCAGCTGCCTTGTCCCAGGTGCTTACTCTGGACTGGGATCCACTTGCTTTATACTCATGATCCTTTATTCCTCAAAATGTTCTAATACGGAGATTATCGCCTGCCCCCACATCTTTGAATGATAGGACTAAACATTTCTTGATACTTGGGTTTCTGAATTTTGGATGCGTACCTTAACCTACATGATTATAAACCTCAACTCACCATGTTACTTTGTTCTTAAGTAACTCTCATAATTCCTAACCAGGGCAGGGAAATCCACTCTCCTCACAATGGAAAAGGGCAGTGTGAGTGAAAACAACAGCTGGGTTTCAGTAAGGCTGGAGTGAAGCCCTGCATTTCAGATCAGTTCTGGCTCCAAGCCATTGCTTAGATCCATACTCTGCCCACAGTGCCACCATCCTTCTTGTAAAGCACAACACCTGACTTTGAGTCCTCTGGACTTGAGTTCAAATCCCACTTTTGTTTATTAACTGTGTGATCCCTTTGAATATACATATGCATCGGTCTGTGGTGTGTGCATGTGTGTGCACGTGGGCATGTGCATGAGAAAGAGAGAGAGAGAGAGAGAGAGAGAGAGAGAGAGAGAGAGAGAGAACCCTCTAACACAAGGACTGTACCTTTCTCAAAAGATGCTGACACATAGTTCTGAAACACATGAATCTGTGTTCTTGAGAAACTCTGACTCATTTTACTGGAACAATAAATTCATGTGATAGTATGTGTGGGCTGGGGCACATGATCCCCTCCATAGAAAAACAGAAAAAAATAGCAATGGGATTTTCCTCTACCGAGTAGTAAGAAATAGCTAATTGTTCTTTTGTTTCTGTTATTGTTTTTTATTTTTGGTATGGTCATCTTTTGACTTGCAGCTGGCACTCTCTCATCCCAATGCACTGAAAACAGCTGAGAAACAGGAAGAGATGAAGGAGTGAGATATCTTCATCATCCACCATGATGTGAAGACCAGTGCGCCATTCATCATTCTGAATACATGGTGGCTCTCACAGGCGTGTGTGTGTGTGTGTGTGTGTGCGTGCGTGTGTGTGTGTGTAACATGCTTAGTTTATATATATATGCTTAATTACACATGTGTGCACATCTTTTAAAACTCATAGAACTGTACATTTAACATGTATGTCAGTTTATCTTAACATGTATGTCAGTTTATCTCTACTATGTCTTGGTTTTCAAATTGTAAAAGCAATTACCATATATTAAATGTGTCACACATTTACATTTTATTTTTAACAGCCTACCAAATTCAAACAAAACTTTTTAAATTAAATATACCTCTATCATACTATTCTCTTGCACGTAAAGGAGGGGAGTCCTGGGGCATGTCTAACTCTATAGGAAACAGAGCAGCTATTAGAAAAATACTGCATATTAGAATCAAATGGGCTTAGGCTAATTCTGCTGCTTACTAGATATGCAAACCCAAACTCAGTTTTCCCATCTGCAAAATGGAAGTAATAGCATCTTCTTAGAGTATTGTTGAATATTCCCTAGCCAACTCTGACCACCATTCTTAATTGGTCTCTTGGTTTCACTTCCATCTTTATACAGAGGTCATGGCCAGTCAGAAAGAGGAACACACAGTGTGGTGATAAGACAACACTGTAACAGCTTACAGTCTTCACAGCTGGACTATGCTGTGGACTCACTCTGTGGCTGGGATCAGGTGAACACCTTGCTTTCTATATGGGTGTTTTCTCATCTCAAAAGGTTGGCAACTACGTGTCTCTCATAACATTGCCAGGGCAGTTATGTGAGAGATCTGAGGCACATCATAGCCTTAATTTTGTTATTCTGCTAGTGTGCAGGATTCACAGGCCAGATCTGATCTTTGATTCATTACTGCACTAAAACCCATGCTTGGCTAGACTCTGCAATCCATTGAAATGTGCTAAATCAATCAAATGAAGTAAATTAGATTTTGTCTCTGGGTTGATTTTACCCATGACACTCTGACACTAATCGTGTGGGTCTACCCTTCCCTTGTACCAACCCACTTCAAATTCTGTAATCATCACCACGTTACACAATTAAATACCTGCACTAACTATCCAGAGTCAGGGTCATACTTCTACTGTAAGGCTCAGTCCCAGAAGGCTGCCTCAACTTTAGTTTCAAGCCTCAAATCTCTCTATATGTCAGACTAACTATAAATCACAGGCTCCCCAGTTTGCTTGAATGGATACACATAATGTAGGAAAAGTTTATTTACTATTAGTAATATGCCATCAGGGCTACAAATCCTATGTAGATTAAAATGCAGAAAGACAATGAAGCAGCCAGGGTCCATGCTCTTTCTGGGCATGACAGTCAGCATGACCTGCATGTGGTCAGCAACCTAGGGTCTATCTGAATCCCAAGTTACTTAATTTTGCTAACTCCAAGGGTCTGGCCTGCAATTATACTCCCACTCCCGCATTGCCCTCCTACCCTAGGGGGTCCAGGTAGGGATAAGATCGTCACAGAGGTACAGCTGTAAGAGGAGGATCTGGGATGATCACAGACATCCAACATTTGCACATCATGAATGATTTGGAGATTTGTTACATGTTAACATTAGTGAGAATCTTATTCTCTATTTTAGAAAGTTAATAGAGAGGCAGAAAGTTCTGGGCTTTTGATAATCTTTGAGACTTCCAGGCTACCTATTCTCAATTTGAAAGATTTATAGTCTTCCAGCCATTAACCTCATGAGCAGTCAAGAATATACCATTTTGGAGACTCCAAAGGTTTAAGGAGTTTGCCTCTTAGGAGCTGAAAGACAAGGACAATACATAACATCACAATTTCTTCCCCTCTTAAAACTTGCAGTCAACTCCAACACTTTCTGATGAAATTCAGACTTCATAAAAATTTCAGTGTTTTCCAACCTTCAAGATGGAGCTTGTGCCTGTTTCCAGCATTGCTGTATTCATTACCCTCCTAGTGAGCCACCCTATGAATACTAGCTTTCATGCTAATGACTGACCGAGCTAAAACTGCTCCTTCCCAATTGGTACCTCTCCCAGGAATCTTTGACTGGCCCTTTCTTTTAGAGCCTCATCAAATACACTGTGTCCAAGACTTACCTTTGGCCACCCTTAGTTGATACAGTCCTCTTCTAAAAACTAGCAACCATACCATCACACGTTGTTGACTTCACAACACACCTTGTACGTAGTGTCATCTGAAGTTTTATTGCTAATTGGCTTAACCTTTACATCCTCTCATGAGGCCCCTCACTTCTCCTTTTTCCAGAACCAGGAGCACAGAGTCCGTGGCCTTCTTCTTCATGTACCAGCAGCTTTTAGTAGAGAATTAAATGTCAGCTGAGAGAATCAACCTATCAAATGCATATTTAATGCAAAGGACTGTACACTTGATCATCATATTCTCGGGGGACGGGGAAGATTCTATCTCCATTTAAATAAGGGAGTTAAGGCTCAGAGCATTCAAGTGATTTTTCCTAAATTAATACATTACAAGCTTGCTTCAAATCAGGAGCTTATGCTCACCTGGCAGATGTCCAGGCTGAGCCCATCACAGTTACCCTCCATGTGATGGTTCTGAGACCCTGTAAAATTCTCAAAGGTTTCTTCTCCCCTGTCAAAGTCACATTTAACCATGGTCACTACATTGTGCTTATATAAAGGGGAAGGCAGGCTTGATGTTAAGAGAGACTGCTCATGTTACTTTGTGAAACAAACTAAACGAAATTATTACCATCTGTATGACCCAGAGCAAGACCTTCCCCATCCCTTGACCTCACCTTATCAGCAGAGTGAAAGCATTGGCTTCAATTATCTCTAAAATCTTGCCAGCTCTGCAGACAGTTTTTGTGTGTGTATGTGCTAACTAATTAACTCTCAGCCAACAAGTGTTACTCTTGAGTTTCTGAGGCTTCCCTAGTCTCACTCCAACAGGATACACATCCACTAAACTTCATGGCAACATGTCATTTCATTCTTGATTAATCAGAGGCTTGGAGGCAGAGTCCTCACACATGGCCTGGCTGGTAAGGACTGGGTGTAAATATGAATATTGAGCAAGTCATCCTATTTATATGAACTTGACTCATTTGTATCAGATTTTGAAGGCTTCTTACTGAAAGCATCAAAAAAAGTCATAGACTCTAAAAATGTAAACAGGACAGCTCAATTAGTCACTTATTGTTCACTGGAGTTGAAATGATCCTGGTGACATTTCTGAGAAGGCATAAAGTGTTGCCATGAGCTGTAACAGAAACAATGGTCATGTCAACAATAAAAGTGGCGGTAGTGCTGGCAGCTAGGATTTTATCCAGTATCTACTATGGATAATGCTATACAAAAACCCACTTATTTGATTCCTTCAGCTGAATGAAGTTCTGAAACCTATTCTTAAACTACTTACTATGGACTATCAGCTGGGCACTTGGAAAGGGCCATGTCCATTGAACATTTTTAGTTTTATTTAATTCTTCATTCTAATTTGTTTTTAAAAAATGTTTGTTATTTTAGAATTTCACATAATATATTCTGATTGTGTTTTTCCCTTACTCAAATCCTTCCAGATTTCTCCCTACTTCTGTATCCCATCAATTACATGATCTTTCTCCCTCTTAAAACAAAATAAAGCAAAAAACAGACAGCTGAAGAGGTGGATCAGCAGTTAAGAGCAATGGCTGCTTTTGTAGAGGACCCAGGTTCAATTCCCAGCACCCACATGGTCACTCATAACCCTCTGTAATTCCAGTTCTGCAGAGCCACTGACTTATTCTGACCTCCTTGGACACCGGGCTCAAACAAAGATACCTGCAAGCAAGACCATCATACACATAAAGTAAAAGTAAAGAAATCTTAAAACCCAAACCAAACAAAACACAAAAACATATGGTGGAGTCCTTGTTTTGCTAGCTGTTCCTGAGCATGGGGCCTGCCCTAGGGTGTGGCTGACAGTGGTTGATATACTCAGTGTCACTCTACTGAAGAAAACTGATTTTCCCTCTTTTAGCAGTTATTAATTGTAAATAGCTTCTTAGATTCTTAGCCAGGTACAGGACTTTGTTTTAATCTCCCACTTTTCCATGTTCAAATTTTGTCTGGCTCAAGCTTATGTAAATCTTGTACATGCTGTCTCTGTCAGTTCATATGTATCGGCCATGTTATATCTGAAAATGCCGTTTCCTTAAAGTCATTCACTCCCTCTGCCTCTGCTTCTGCATAGATCCTTGAGCCTTGAGGTCAAGGTATGATAAACATATCCCATTTAGGTCTGAATACTCCAGAACCATTCACTCTCTGTATATTGTCGAGTTGTATGTTTCTATATTAATGATCTATTGCAAGAAGAAGCCTCTCAGCTGAGGGTAAAGTGATGCACTTATCTAAGGGCATAGCAATATGTCATTAGGAGTCATTTTATTGCTATATTCATTGAACAGAATGATAGTAGTATGTGTTCCCCTAGAGTTCATACACTATCTAGCTGTATATTCTTAGCCTCATTATGTCAGATATGGGTGTATCTCATGGAGTGGGCTTTAAACTTAATAAAATTGGTTGGTTACTCCCATAACATTTGGGCCATTATTGTAATAGTGGACAAATGTACTAGGTTGCTACTATAGCTCACAGGATTCATAGCTTGGTGACACTGATGACTACTTTCCCCCTCTGATAGCATGTACAGCACTTTCCAGCACTATGAATGCTAGTCAATAGGGCTGAAGATTCTAGGTGAGTATCACCATACTTCTTTCTCAATCTTCTATGTTTAGCAGTAGGGTCTTACACTTTGTTGTGGAGGGTGGTCAGTAGCATTCACAATCACCTGTAATGTTTGAGGGGGCGTGTCTATGGGACTCCCTCAGTCAGTGACTCAGAAAGTTGTAACCCATTACTAGTACTAGGGATTTATTTGGCAGCATACGATGTCTGGTTGGAATATTGTCTCCCCTATAATATAACTCTATATAGTAACGTCATTAAGCTCCTTTTACGTACATATATTTCTAGGAAAGGGGAAATAGAATGCAACATTATAAAAGGGCATGGGGAAATTGGAACAGAAGCAATATGGGAGGGGTAAGTATCAATAATGGAAATTGTAATATCTATTTCATGTGCTGTTGTATGTGCCAAACATCTAAAAGTATGACTAGCAATCATCATAGTGCCTGCTGATCAATTGGAATGAAATTGTTTTTCTAGAAAGTTTATTAAAAGGTTAGAGTTGTCAATTCTGTGTTTCAGGTCAGCTGAGATAGGTGGTATGTGGTAGGTAGGTGCAGCTTGTCAATATTCTCATAGTTTCTCATCATTTGCAGAGTAATGAAAAAGAATTCACATCTGAAGCTTATTTTGTCTGACATAGACACAGCAATACACCTCCCATGCACTGGACCCCTCTTGCCAGTCTTTCCTTTATATTAATATAGCCAGCAAAGCTCATGTTTCTGAACCATATACCCTTCCCATGAATCATCAAAAATACTTCAAGGTCTGTTTATAAGACCATATGATGCTTGGTTTTTTTTTTACATTTTAACTCCAGCACTCCCAGAGCCAAACACTGAAACTCAGCTATTAGGTTTGCTATACTTCTAAACATTCTGATAGCCAGACAGTCCAGTTCTCTTGTTAATATAATTATTTCTACCAAATATTACTTCTAATTCCTTGGAAATTCCTAGAATCTTTATTCCATCCTATTCTTGTAACTTATAGCCCTCTTTGTTTTAGTGTAACTTACAGACCATGATATGGCCATCCATATTAGCCCATATTTATCTCAAATATATTGACCAACATCACCATTAACATTCTCTTAATCATCAAATTCAATTAGCTGATGAAATACATAGAACTCTTTTCCAGGACAGGCCGAATTGTTTTGGTGTCCTCTAGTTGGATTTGAGGCCTGCTCTGCCCATGCAAGAGGAGGTCAGAGAACCAAAGAACCCACTACTGTTCTCTACCAGATTGATCAAACTGTCATCTAAACATCTATATTCCCACCAACAAAACAACTGTCACAGTCCATCAGAGTTGTTTCTCTTTGTCCTGAACAGCAGTCAATGTGGAGATTTGAGCCTATCCGAGATGTTAAACGGATTAGAGATAATTAAGGATACAGCCCTAAGAAAGACATCTGTACTATCTCTTCTAAAGTTCAGGGAACATTTCAGATAAGCAGTGAGCAATAATATAACAGCTGAAAAAATAGGGAGGAGGGTCACAAAATGTCATCTTCTAGGCATTGCACAACCATTGCAAACATGACCTTACAGGAACTGTAGCTACTTGTATTGGGTCTGCACAAGACTTGTCAACAATCATTCATGGAGGTTTCATGAAATCATCCCCTTATGTCCAAACTACTTACTATTAGTAGAATCTAGAAGAGGGAGAGTCACTGTTCTCAGCTGTTTACTCTGTGCTGAGCCTACAAGGCTCCAGTGGATAACTACATCTATAGTCCCAGAAATAGCCTTGGTCAAACTCAGTAGCTCACAAAACAACAACAACAACAACTACAAACAACAACAACAACAAAAACAGGAATGTGAGAAAGATATTTGTAGGGAAGAAGAAAGGTAGACACGGATGGGAAGGAGATAAGGAAGGGTGGGAGGTCATAGGAATCACTATGTATACATGTATGAAATAATTAAGGGTTTTATTAATTAATACAATTTACAGTATGCAATGGTAGTAGTATAGTGAACACAGACTGAGCTTCTCAGGATGCTGACTCTATAGGTTTGTGGCTCTATGTTGACATAGATGAGCAACTATATACTCTAGGACACCCCTTATCCATTCATCTATCATGCTCCACATAGTTCCAAGCTTTGGGATTTCCAGCTCTTCTGAGCCAGAGTCATTCTGTTGGCAGTGGAACCTAGCCTTAAAATTCCTCTGGCTAAGCTTGAATTCATTTCAAATCAACTTTAGGAAGAAGATAAGCAAAGAAGTTGAATGTGAAAGAAGTGAATAAGTTGAAGAGACCAAGGAAAAGAAGGATTGGAAGAAAAGTGGGAAGCTAGTAGGAGAGAGATAAAGTGGGGGTCCAGAAGAGAGAATAAATGGAGGATAGCACATCCAGGAAGATCACTGCATGCCTTTCAAGTCGGCTTATGTTCTTTTCTGTGTTACCCCAGTACCCCTGGTTTCCTTTCAGTTTGTCATTTAGCACACAGTAGAATAGATACCTTTTTACTCATAAATTTCCTCTATTTGGCTCTGAGAGTTGGAGGACATATATTTTATTTGCATTCAAAGCAACTCATATAAATAATGCAACTGTGCATTTTGAAAAACT